GGGGGCCGCCCCTTCGAGCGGTTCGCTCCTGGTGGCGGCGCGGCTGCAAAGGTGCTGCCCTGGGTAGCTGCGGGATCGAGGCCCCCTTCATCCTAGGGGCGAGACAGGTTAACTGGTTAACCCGCAGGCGGCACTCGGTTAACAGGTGGGGCCCCGCCCGGACAGGAGCTGCCCTCATCGTCCAGAGCAGCCCGTCTGACCTGCCCACAGCCACGCTGGAGCAGGGACTGGGGGGTCCCGCAGGCAGGGACTGCTCTGGTTGGGCTGGAGCCGCTCTGGCCCATCTCTGGCAGGGATGCCCCAGCCCAGCCAGGCTGAAACTCCCCTTTCCCCCCAGTTGCCCGTCTTGTTCAACTGGTTAAATGGGATTTTATATCCCTAGCTCATCTGAGGCTGGGCTGTGCTCTAGCTGTGCTGCTCTGCATTAGGTCCTTGTGTATCTCAGCTGCCAAATAGAAAAGGATAAACAGCTGGCTCTCCACGAATGATCCCTGCTCCAGCACCTGGATGTGTTGAAAGAAATCAGCACAGAGATGGTGGCTGAATGAGAAGAGAGGGTGGAGTGAACAGCATCCGGTTCCATGACGTTAGAAGCAAAGGGAGGATGGTCCATGGGGCAATAGTTAAGGGGGCAGGTGGGATCAGAGGCTGTTTTTAGAGAATATTGGAGACCAGAGTTTGTTCACATTTGATGCTCATGAGATGGCTCTTTGCCAGGGGATTTCCTCTTGTGACTTGCACTCCAGACATGCTGATTGAGCCAAAGATTAGCCAGCTCTAAAACTGCTGTCGTCCTGACTGTTGTGCATAGGAATAGATTTAGGAATTCATAGTATGCCAGGACACGTCTTGCACTCTGTAGTCCCAAGAAATATTAAGGAAAATAACATGAGTAGGCTAGGACTTTAACAGGGTTCAAAAAGGAGCTAGAGAGATTCATGGAGGTTAGGGCCATCAATGGCTGTTAGCTCGGATGGGTAGGAATGGTGTCCCTGGTCTCTGTCTGTCTGGAAATGGTTGAAAGGGGACGGATCGTGTGAGGGTTACCTGCTGTGTTCCCTCCGTCTGTGGCAGAGGTCCCCAACCTTTTGGGGCCACTGGTTGCCCAGGAGGGTGCCCACACATCAGCTGCCCGAGGGCGGGGCTGCCCACGCACTTCGTACCCAGGGCTGGCGCCGCTCCTCTGCTGTGTGCCATGGGTCAGTGCTGCCCATATGCTATGCACCCAGGGGCGGGGTTGGCCCCAATCACTTGACGGGCGCACAGAAATGGCCCGGCAGGCACCGCGTTGGGGACCACTAGTCTGTGGCATTTGTCGGCAGACAGGATATTGGGCTAGATGGACCGTTGGTTTGACCCAGTTTGACCCATTCTTATGTCCTTATGAGTACAATTATTGATATTATTGTTTGTGTAAGCTCATAGACTCATAGACTTTAAGGTCAGAAGGGACCATTATGATCATCTAGTCTGACCCCCTGCACAACGCAGGCCACAGAATCTCCCCCACCCCTCCTAGAATAATCCTCTCACCTATCTCTCAGATATTGAAGCCTTCAAATACTTTGAAGACCACAAGATACAGAGAATCCTCCAGCTGTGATCTGTACCCCATGCTACAGAGGAAGGCAAAAACCCTCCAGGGTCTCTGCCAGTCTACCCTGGAGGAAAATTCCTTCCCAACCCCAAATATGGCGATCACCTAAACCCTCAGCATGTGGGCAAGACTCACCAGCCAGACACCCAGAAAGTTCTCTATAGTAACTCCTATCATTCCTCCATTGACCTATTTCCCACTGATAATGAATGATCAATTAGTTACCAAGATCATGTTATCTCATCAAGCCATCCCCTTCATAAACCCATCTAGTTTAATCTTGAAACCAGATAGATCTTTTGCCCCCACTACTTCCCTTGGAAGGCCGTTCCAGAACTTCACTCCTCTAATGGTTAGAAACCTTCGTCTAATCTCAAGTCTAAACTTCCTACTAGCCAACTTATATCCATTTGTTCTTGTGTCCACATTGGTATTAAGCTTAAATAATTCCTCTCCCTCCCTGGTATTTATCCCTCTAATATATTTAAAGAGTGCAATCATGTCCCCCTTCAGCCTTCTTTTGGTTAAGGTAAACAAGCCAAGCTCCTTAAGTCTCCTTTCATAACTGCATTCTTCAGTGGTACTTTCACTTGTATGTTAGGAGGCAGAGTTTTGAAATATTTGTAGGAGAGAGGAGGAGCAATTCTGGGATCGGGCCTCTTTGCTTTTAGCCTGGTTTGTCAGATACTAACTCTGACAATGTCATTCTAGTCACCTTGAGGCATCTGATGTCCTGCTGTGAGGGGCCTGGCTGTTCGCATGCTTTTCAGAACAGTGACATGAGTGAACTCATGATCTTCTCTTTTGCAAAATTTGTTTTTATATACAGTCTATGCCAGTGGTCCCCAACCATTTGGGGTTGCCGGGCACCAGGGGGTGTGGCCGTTCGCCGGCCGGGCGCCTGGGGGTGGGGCCCCCCCATAGCCACATTCCCGGGGGCGGGGCCCCCCCATACACGCATTCCCGGGGCCGGCGCTCTCCCCTCAAGCGCCACGCGCCCGGGGCCGACGCTCCCCGCAAGCGCCGTGCCATGTGCCCAGGGCCAGGCCAGCCCCGAGCACCTGGCGGGGGCATGGAAATGCCCCATTCTCTCTCTCCCCCCCACCCCCAAGCACTGCGCGCCCGGGGAACGGCGCTCTCCAGGTGCTGCACGCCCGGCGCACCCTGCAAGCACCGTGCATCCGGGGCTGGCGCTGGCGCTCCCCCCCCCAAGCACCGCGCACCCGGGGCCTGCGCTCCCCCCATGCACCGCGTGCCCAGAGCGCGGGCGGTCAATCCGTGGCGTCCCCGGGGCCGGCACTCACAGTGCGCCATGCGCCCGGGGCCGGCTTCGGCACTGCGCATGCGCCATGTGCCCGGGGCCAGGCCAGCCCTGAGTACTTGGCAGGTGCAGACAAATGCACCGTGTTGGGGACCACTGGTCTATGCTGAAAACAATCGCAGGCATCCCTAAAACTCCCCAACTAAAAGTAGGGATATTGGATATTGTGTAATTGAATAGTCGTATAACTGCATGAAATTTAATGATTGCACAACTATTTGTTAGTCCCTGGGGCTGAGCCGACAGCCAGTGCACTCCCTGTACCACTCCCAGGAAGCCTGCTGCCACCTCACAGTGCTGCCTTTCTATCAGAGGCAGCAGTGCGGGGTGGCAGGCGGGAGCTGGTCCGCGAGGAGAGCGGGTTTAAAAACCACAAACTGGATCCTGCCTGCTGTCCCACACTGCTATGTCTGATAGGCAGGAGAGTGGGATGACAGCAGCCCCTATACTAGTGCCAGGCTTCCCCTGGACAGAAGCTGCTCCACAGCAGCAGCCCCTGTCCACATGAAGCTCGGATCCCCCTTGGACAGGGGCCATTGCCTGGGCCTTCACCACTGTCTCTCCTGCCTCCTACTCCTGGCAGTGCTGCCTTTGATAGAGGCTGTGGGGCGGAGCGGGAAACAAGTGGCACCGCAGAACCAGTGCTGGATGGAACCAACTTTCAAGTTGGCTCCCCTGAGCACCAGCTCTTCCCCTCCTCACCACTGTCTCTGCAAGAGGTGGTAGACAGGTCTGCGGAGCTGGCATGCCTGCTTGAAAGCAGTCTCCCTGTCCCCCTCATTCTCTGTGCTGCTGCCTCTATCAGAGGCATCCACCATTCTTTTGCAGCATGATTGCTCTGGCTAGGCTAATTGCTGCTTAGATAACTTGACCATCTAGCACAGCAGTGATGATTAACCTGGAGTTTAACCCCCCTGCTGTGGGAAGCATGTCAGTTCTCATAAACTATTGGAAAACCGGAGGTATCGCTCACAATAGGGCTCACCTGGCCCATGGCAAATCCCTGTAACATCTATGGCATATCAGGGTTTTCAACAAAGGTAGCAGTCTGACGTTATTTAAAAGAAATATCTCCTGTTAACATTAATATGTTCTTACGTTTTTCTGATAGGTGATTGTGGGGCCCTACCAACACGGGAAAATGCCATCCCTCTTGATACTCGCACAGGGGGATTTCCTGTGGAATCAAAAGTGCAATACAAGTGCATCAATGGCTCAGTTAAAATCCCTGGGAAGCCGGACACCGCCGTTTGCCTTGCAAACTCACAGTGGAGACTCAATGGAATCTTTTGTGGTCGTAAGTATATTATCTTCTCTGGAGCAAACGTACTCAGAACACCTTTCACTGGTGGAAATATAAGATTTTCCCCACTGAATAGGTCAGTTCCTCCCTAGATCAGTGACAAATGACAATATGCAATTAACCTGTTCATTCAAGAATTCTGTTGCAAAGCGATCTGGGAGCATCTGTCAGTGAGAGGACTTGTGCTTGAGTCAAGAAGGCACGGTTTAGATTAGCAGGCATGGGAAGTAGTTTTACATTTGTGTTTTGACTGCACGTGTTTCTGGCCTGTGGATGCTCAGATAGCTTTACTGCACCAAAAGGCAAATGTCTCAGAAACGATTTACCTGTCTATTGCTAGTTCTATTAGAATATTACCTAGAGGCTCCAATTGGGAGTGATCGACCCCTTGTGCAATAAAAAGACATTTTGTCCCCTGAGGATCTCTATATCCAGGTTAACATGAAGATCAACAGATGAGTGAGGATATTGAGGAAGGAGAGGTGTCAAGGCTGTTCCCAACTCTATTTGGAAGTCCCCTACAGTGCAGCACCCGTAGGGACACTACCCAAAAAAGGAGGAAAAAACTCACCTTGTGCAGTAATGATGCATGCTCGAGATACGTGTCCCTATGGGTGCTCCTGAACCGGTCCTTCTCCCTTCTGCTTTGGAGTTCAGTGTAGGGCTGTGCAGCAGAGAAGGAAGCGAGGGGCTTCCACCCACACAGTGCTAGATAGCCTCAAGGAAGGGAGAGCACATGCGCTACCTCAATGGATATTGCTACCACAAATCTCCAATTAGAGGCGCAGAGGTGCATCTACACCTACAATGGAGCATCCACAAGGACACACACCTCAAAGAACCGTTTTCACAGTACAAGGTGAGGGAATACCAGAGGAGAGGAAAATGGCAAGGAAAAGAGGGTGGTGCAAGGAGAAAATTCAGGCTGACGCTTGCTGTTGGTATCCCAGAGAGTGCGGCAGGTGGTACCAGAGGATCCACGAAACTGGGCCTGAAAATAAGATATGGAATTGCCAGGAGGAAAACTTTGAGCTTGGAGTTACAAAAGCCAGAAGATGACGGGATTACAAGAAGTCAAGAAGGGTAGGGTTGGGGAGAGGCCCTGGGAATTGTGGAGATTCCAGTGAAGTGGAGAGGGAGGGCCCAGACTGGAGGGGATCATGGGGTTAGAGCTGAAGAAGACTCCCGTGCAGTGGTTGTAAGCAGAATGTTTGGTGAGAGATGCAGTTGAGGAGCATAGGAGAATCTTTCCCTTTCTACATGCTTTAATCTATTAATGTCTCCTCTCTCTTAGCTCCTTCCTTTTCTTATTCTACTCATTAGTATGTATTGCCCGCTGCTTGGCACAGCATCGACTTTGTCCTGGTAGCTTGCCTCTGCCTTAAAAGTAATTTTTAAAAATTCTCCCTTTGCTGACATATTTTGTAAAGTATCCTTCTGTCAAGGTCCTGTGCTGTTCTGTGGCTGTATTGTAATGGCTGCTGATGTCTCTAAATCATAGATTTCTGAGGCAGGGTATCTGTTCCCAGTTTGGAACTCTTGTGTTAGATGTGAGAGCTCTGCCCACTTACAGTTTTTTATTTACCTATAAATACGATGTTAAAAGTACCATTTTTATGCATCTCTATATAGCTAAATCCTTCAGATTCTCTCTTTTTTTTTATTGCTAGGTAGCTGTGGTGTCCCACCAAGGTTTAGATCTGCTGCCGTAAGTAAGGAAGATGAAATGAAGAGCTACTATCCCCCAGGGACCACTGTGACTTATGTCTGTCGCCCAGGTTATGAGCCGACCGAACTGATGCCCAGTGCCACTTGTCTTGAGAATGTAACATGGTCGGAATCTCCTGAATTCTGTACAAGTGGGTGTCTTTGTGTCACTTTTCTCTTTTCATTGTGCGACAGGCCCCGTGTGAGCAATTAAGAGTGTTTTGTGTTAAGCAGTTAAGTAGGAATAATAACCAGCGAGGAGAGGGAAGTAGCTGGATTGCTAGTCTCCCATTGCCATAGGCCAAGAGTGGCAACTTTACCAAACATGCCGTTCACTGAAGCTGCTTACAACAGTCATGAGAAGTTTGACAGCTGGAGTAGGAGGCACTTGTGATGGCTCAATTCTTCAGCACTGCTTTGACTGAAACCCTGAGACTTCCTTCCAAAATGCCGACCACAGCTCTCTGATCCAGTGCTGGGGGCCTGAAAAAGGAAAGAGCCACATGCAGTTCGTAAGCCCTAGTTGGCCTCTCCCTGCCATAGTGTCCTCTGAGTGTGTTCGGGATCATTGCATCAATCTAACACTCTTACCCTGACCTTGTTCTTTGTTAGGGAAATCTTGTCCTGCTCCAGAAGGACCAAAGAACGGCAGAGTTGTTGATGGAACAGATTACCTGTTTGGTACAAGAGTAAACATAACTTGTAACCATGGGTAAGTGTTGGGCAACCAGTGCTGATTAATTCACAGAGCTTACTTGGGTGTTGTACTACAGCTGAACACTATAACATTAATAGTATAAGTTCTGATCCAATGTAATAACACACTCTGAGGGCTGCTACAGGACTGCTGTCCTGGCTTGAGGTACCTATTGAAAAAGTGTCAGCTTCAAACTGGAGTTGACCAGGTTTGGATCATGATCCCTCGGTCCTTCAGCTGACAGATGAAGTTGGGAGGAAGCAAGTGCCGCTTGATACCATGAGATGTGGTATAATTTGTTCCAGATGCTGTTGGAAAAAACGACCATAAGAGGTGACTGGATTCTAATTTAATTGGATTGAGCAGATAGTTCCTGGACATCAGAGTAACTGACCAGGGAAGCATGTCGCAGGAGCATGGATGTGGTCTTTTTAATTAATATTAAAAACTAACTTGGTGTTCCTTGGGTCCTTCAGAGTGGGGGACTGGTTGTGTCGGTGATTCAGGAGTCAAGGCAGGGCCCTGGGGATGTGCAGTGGGCAGGGAAGGAGGTTGGTGAGTTGGGGGTGGTGGTGGAAGAGTGAGGTTTGGGGCATGAGCAGGAGCTCAGGGTGGGTGGGGTGGGGGTCCCATCTGGCAGGACTTTCTCTGCTGCCCCTGTCTAGTGAGGATTTTCTTTCCCTCTTCCTGCCACCAGGGGCTGCCAGTTTCCTGCCAGGTCCCCTGTCCACCTGTCTCCTCCCAGACCACCCTGCACTACTGCCAAAGGCTGGGATGGGAGAGAGAAGGGTTTGAGATAGCAGGGCTACTTACCCATTCTGCTATTCCCACTCTTGGGCATGTGGGTGCTCCCCAGTGACCACTCGGCATGTAACTCTCCCCTGTGCTCACTGCCCCCTGTGGCCACTCTCCGTATCGCATCCATCTTCTCGTCCCTTCCTTTTGAGTCACTCTTCTCTCTGCCTGCTCCCTCTTCATGATATGGAAAACAGTTCCATTCCTGGGTACTTCCCATTTCCTTGGCACAGCCAAGCCCTGACCTTACTTTAAGTTAGGGTAAGAGGAAGCTGCCTACCAAATTTGGTAGTCCTAGCTAGGATGAATTCTTGAACAAATGGACTCACAAGTAGACAGACAGACAAGCACATTTCTAAATATATAGCTAGATCTATTTTTGTTTTTCACTCCATCCCACATATAGGTGATATTTGTAGGCTGCAAGGGTTCATTTCCCTGTATTGGGATCATAATGAATAAGAGGCTTGGTTATGGAATAAATTGCTTTGGGAAGTTCTGGAATCTCTGTCGAAGAAGATTTTAAAGACCAAATTAGACAATCCATGTATAGTCTGGTTTACATAATATTTAGTACTGTCTGAGTGCAGGGACTGGATTGGAAAACCTCTTCGGGTCCTTTCTAGTCCTATGATTGTATGTCACAGAATTTGGGGTTAGAGTATTTTAGTAATTGGCCTACTTTCCAGATGATGTAACGAGAAGTAATTGTTATCAGATATTAAAGCACTCTGCAAAGTAGGACAGTATTATTAAGCCCATTTTGCAGATGGGAAAATAAAAGCACAGAAGGGAAGTGATTTCCAAAGGTCACCCACAGACCAGACACAGAAATGAAAATGCAATCCAAGTTTCCTGTGTCCCAGTGGTTTTTCCTGTAGGCAATACTATGTCTGGGTTGCACCTGCAAGAATGCCCAAGCAATTCTGATACTTGACGTTTTCTTTTGAAGAAGAGTACAGGAATGGCAACCCTCGGAATTGCACCTGTCAGTGACAGCTTTGGGTTTAAGTGGGCTGATGAGGTTAAGCCATTTAATATTTTCAAGTTCTGAAAGAGTGGCGGTAGCAAGACAGCACTTGTTATAAGATTAAGTTTTAAGTTGGGAGAAAACCAGTAGCCTCCTGGCTGTAAATGATTTTCATGTGTGCCCTTGTGCAAGAATGAACTAGAAGTCTCTCCAAGACTACGTCTACACTGCCTCTTTTTTGCAGAAGAGGCAATGCATATGAAGCGCTCATTAGCAACTTCTCATACTTCATTAGCATATTCTGCTCCGTTGCTTTTTGCGGAAGACATTTTGGCGCAAAAAAAGCAGTGTAGATGCGTCAATTTTGCACAAAAAAACCCTTTTGCACAAGAACCCTTATTCCTCAACAAATGAGGTTTACAGGTTCTTTTTCCAACTACTAAGAGGTAAGAAATAAGCAGAGAAAAAATGTGCAGAAGGGAAACGTATTTGTTTTCATTTGCTAAGGTTTAACAAAGATATTGCCCAGAGAGTTCCAAGCATCTAGCCAGCAAAGGTTATAAGGTGAAGGATTTCACCTGCTTGCATGGTCTCTGCAATCTTAGGTTCAAGTTTTTACTTCTTCTAAATTGGTGTAAACTTCTGAGTATTCCTTGGTTCTGGGAATCATGTTGGTACTAACAACAGGAATGACTTTAGATGATGGCTTACTAGCAGAAAGTTCTGAACTGTCCCATGAGAAATTAGAAAACTAGGTATGAAACTTTCTCTCTCTTTTTTTTTTAATAGGTTCAAATTACGTGGGCGGAATTTCATCCAATGTGTGCTAAATGGAAACCCCTGGACTCAGCTTCCCACTTGTGAAGGTCAGGCAAACTTAGTAGTTTCAGTAGAAGAAAAGTCAGCTATGTGTTTGTATAACTGGTATTCTTCAAGATATGCTACTCGTATCCATTCAACATCCTTTCTTCCTTCCCCGGTGAGGGTGAGGAACTGAGGGTGGAAGGAATTTATAGATGGCTGACCTAAAGCTTAGAGATGCACATGCAGCACTAACACTTTTTAGTTTCTCTAATAATCTTGGTTCTCATAATGTCACATCTTTTAATTTAAGGCTAGACTGTGGTGCTGACTAAAAACCCACCGTAGCTTAGTTTTCTGCTGGTAGAACAGTAGGACCTCTTGAGATGACAGGCGAGAGGTTTTTGCTCCCTGAGGCTAACTCTCGGAAGGGCCCTACTCTGTTACGGTCATCGTCCAGAGCTGGTGTTGTATGAAGCATCCTCCCTGAGCAGTGAACATATTGGATTGTGTCAAGACTAAAAGAATAAAATGTTAAGAATAAAATGTTGTTAAAGCACAATATTAAATATACTTTTGGGTGGCTAAATAGCTTTTGGGAGGATCTGAAATAACTTTTAGGGAAAAGTCTCTTCAGTTCAACTTTAATTTCATGTTGACATTCTTTTCTTCAGCAATATCTTGTCTTCCACCTCTTAATATCACCCATGGATCCCACAATCGTCTGGGTGAAGAAGAGTTTATATTTGGCTCAGCAGTAACTTACTTCTGTGACGAGGGTTTCTCTCTCATTGGAGAGGCCTCCATTCATTGTACAACGAATGATCAAGTCAATGGAGAGTGGAGTGGGCAGGCCCCTGAATGCAAAGGTTAGTAGCATCTGTTTTTTATCTCCTTATTCAAACACCTCCGCCCAGGAAAACTATATTTTCATTACTGAGGGAAACCCCTGCGCTCGACACACCCATCGGGCATCGGTGGCGCAGGGAACCCGCCGCACTCTTTCTCCACCCAGCCTCTGCAGGCCGGGATCTGCTCCAGCCTCGTGGGGTCCTCTGTGGATGGCAGGGGGCCTAGGCCCAGCACTCCACGGATAGGGCCACTCAGGGATTGCTCCAGCAGCAGGCCCGGTCCAGCTCAGTCTGACTGTGATGGAGTGGTGACTCCAGTCTGCCCACTCCATTTAGCCACTTAAACTTAATGTTTTAGCAGGATTTCACATCTCTAATTCCCAGCTGACATTCTGGAGACAGTGAATGGGGAAAGATTTTTCCTCTGGCTTTTTTTCAGCTTTTTGTTTTTGGATTGTTGACTGTTACTGCTTAATGGCAAATAAAGCAGAGCAGAGATTCCTTGAAGGGAGACTGGTTTGCCAATTTCTGCTGTGGTTTGCAATGTTATATAATTACTGTTCTACGTTTGCATAGGGCGTTGCCACACATTTTAGCAGGAAGATATTCACCAGTAAATTATCAACTTTTAGATGATATCTCACAAGGCATGCTTTGTAAAACGATCATTATAGCACTCTTTGGAGTGTGAATACGGATGTATTGTATTCTTCCAAGATGTCTGATTAGGGATGTTAAATTTAGATTAATTGGCTATTTGATTAGTTGATAAGGATGCCTCCGCCTTTGAGGTGGAGCAACAGTCCCCTGTCAACTCCACCCGCCCGCCTTGTTCTGATAGAGACAGCAAGTGGGATGAGCCACTAGTTGACTAATATGTCCGCTATCCGATAAGAGGTTGCTCATCGGCTAATCAACTAGTTGTTCACACCCTTATTTCTTATTGTTCTTAATTAACCTTAAATCTTCTCTTTATCTGTAAACATCCAGTTGTGACTTTTTCATTCATGTCTTTAGCTTTTGGTGCTGAGACCATTGACTTTGATTTGCCATGGTATTCACTACATTAAGAGTTGCAAATCAGCATATCTCCCCCCCCCCTTTTTTTTCCTCTTAAGATAATGGGTTAACGCTAGTACTACTCTTGTTCTCTTCCAGGAAAACCATGTAGACAATTAGAAGTAGAAAACGGCAGAGTTGAATTATTCGATCTCCACTTTGGTGCAACAGTCAGCTTCTCATGTGATGATGGGTGAGTGCCAAATTGGTGATTTTGGCTGATTAACAGAGCCTAGAGTGGTGTGAAACTGCTGATGTCTGGTAAAACAAAGCTAGAAAGCCTACTTTAATTGCAAGAGCATCAGTGGGTGCTGTGCCATGAATCTGTAGCTATGGGCTGAGCCCTGGTGAAGAATTACAGCTGTGATTTTTTTTTGCCAAAGGAGTCAAAAGGAGAGAGATATCCAGCTACAGCTGTCATTCAGTGGGAGATGGGAAGCTTAGCTTGCTCAGGCTCTTTTAAAAATCCTAACCTAGATGCCTCAGGAGACCATCCAGCAGGTGTGAGGTCATGAGAGAGCGAGTGTCCCACCTCAGGGGTTACGCGGTGCTCACTGACTCGTGCCGTCTCTCCCTTGTTGCAGGGCTTTCTGTCTGGGAGCTAGTGGCTGAATGTTGCCTGTAAGAGGTAGCACCCGGTAGAAGCAGATCTCTTCCTGCTCCATGAAAACAAATCTTTGTCCCTCCCCTATAGAAGTCAGTATTAGCAGGGCTCTCCAGCCACGCGGTTCTGTGCTCTCCGCACATGCAGATCATTCCGTGCCGGCTCTTTCGGGGTGTAATCTACTTGCCATGGGGAGCCCTGAGCCTTAGTATCAAGATGGGGAAACAATGAATTGAGAGTAATCGTGGCAAGTGATCTACATTCTCATGCTACAGAGGAAAGGGCAGAGGACGGGGGGCAGGAAATCCCAATGTCATTGCCAATTTGATCTGGGAGAGAATTTTTGCCAACTGCACATAATCATCGAGCCTGAGGGAGAACCCACAAGCTAAGCACTCTCACAGATGAAGCTGGTTGCCTCCACAGATATCATTGGTGACTGTTCCTAAACCTCACCCTTTGGATAGATAGAAATGGAGTTTCCAGCCTGAAGTCGTTCCTGGGCAGTTTTTACCCTTTGTTCCTGTGGCAGAAGTGTACTCAGTTTAAACAGCCCTAAGCCCTCCCTGCTACTTGTCTGGATTGCATTGCTTGGGCTCACAAATGACGTGGGTGCAGGTGTTGTGCAGAGTTTGGTTTTTCTGTATCCCATATTTAAGGATCTTGTCCAAGCCTCAGAGATTGTAATCCCAAGGGTGTATGGGGTGAGGTGTGAGGGGAATGTCCAGGCCAAGGCTGTCAGGAGAAGTCAATTCAGAGTCTCTCCAATTTTCCTCACAGATCGCTTCTATCAGGCAGCGGGGCTTTTACTGCTCAGTCCCATATATTTTTGAAGGGTGACTAAATGTGAACTGGATCTTCCTGGGTGATGTCAACAGATTGTTTTGGGCCCAGTCTGAGCTTGAAGTATAAATTTCATCAGGCCCTTTGTACGCAGGTTGGGAAGTGGGCTCCTTTGGCAATTGTTAGGGATGGTTTTCCAGTAACTTCAAAAAACGCAGTTGCAGGCATCTCACTAGGGAGGTAAATTCCCAATAATCAGTTCACTGGCTAATGTTGGGTCACGCTGGGCCTGCTGCTGGCTCCCAGGTCCCTCTGGGGCAGCCCCTGGCCACTGCAGGCTGCACTGCCCATGAAGAGAGGCTGGGCCCGACCCCCGAATTCCCAGCTGACATTCTGGAGACAGTGAATGGGGAAAGATTTTTCCTCTGGCTTTTTTTCAGCTTTTTGTTTTTGGATTGTTGACTGTTACTGCTTAATGGCAAATAAAGCAGAGCAGAGATTCCTTGAAGGGAGACTGGTTTGCCAATTTCTGCTGTGGTTTGCAATGTTATATAATTACTGTTCTACGTTTGCATAGGGCGTTGCCACACATTTTAGCAGGAAGATATTCACCAGTAAATTATCAACTTTTAGATGATATCTCACAAGGCATGCTTTGTAAAACGATCATTATAGCACTCTTTGGAGTGTGAATACGGATGTATTGTATTCTTCCAAGATGTCTGATTAGGGATGTTAAATTTAGATTAATTGGCTATTTGATTAGTTGATAAGGATGCCTCCGCCTTTGAGGTGGAGCAACAGTCCCCTGTCAACTCCACCCGCCCGCCTTGTTCTGATAGAGACAGCAAGTGGGATGAGCCACTAGTTGACTAATATGTCCGCTATCCGATAAGAGGTTGCTCATCGGCTAATCAACTAGTTGTTCACACCCTTATTTCTTATTGTTCTTAATTAACCTTAAATCTTCTCTTTATCTGTAAACATCCAGTTGTGACTTTTTCATTCATGTCTTTAGCTTTTGGTGCTGAGACCATTGACTTTGATTTGCCATGGTATTCACTACATTAAGAGTTGCAAATCAGCATATCTCCCCCCCCCCTTTTTTTTCCTCTTAAGATAATGGGTTAACGCTAGTACTACTCTTGTTCTCTTCCAGGAAAACCATGTAGACAATTAGAAGTAGAAAACGGCAGAGTTGAATTATTCGATCTCCACTTTGGTGCAACAGTCAGCTTCTCATGTGATGATGGGTGAGTGCCAAATTGGTGATTTTGGCTGATTAACAGAGCCTAGAGTTGTGTGAAACTGCTGATGTCTGGTAAAACAAAGCTAGAAAGCCTACTTTAATTGCAAGAGCATCAGTGGGTGCTGTGCCATGAATCTGTAGCTATGGGCTGAGCCCTGGTGAAGAATTACAGCTGTGATTTTTTTTTGCCAAAGGAGTCAAAAGGAGAGAGATATCCAGCTACAGCTGTCATTCAGTGGGAGATGGGAAGCTTAGCTTGCTCAGGCTCTTTTAAAAATCCTAACCTAGATGCCTCAGGAGACCATCCAGCAGGTGTGAGGTCATGAGAGAGCGAGTGTCCCACCTCAGGGGTTACGCGGTGCTCACTGACTCGTGCCGTCTCTCCCTTGTTGCAGGGCTTTCTGTCTGGGAGCTAGTGGCTGAATGTTGCCTGTAAGAGGTAGCACCCGGTAGAAGCAGATCTCTTCCTGCTCCATGAAAACAAATCTTTGTCCCTCCCCTATAGAAGTCAGTATTAGCAGGGCTCTCCAGCCACGCGGTTCTGTGCTCTCCGCACATGCAGATCATTCCGTGCCGGCTCTTTCGGGGTGTAATCTACTTGCCATGGGGAGCCCTGAGCCTTAGTATCAAGATGGGGAAACAATGAATTGAGAGTAATCGTGGCAAGTGATCTACATTCTCATGCTACAGAGGAAAGGGCAGAGGACGGGGGGCAGGAAATCCCAATGTCATTGCCAATTTGATCTGGGAGAGAATTTTTGCCAACTGCACATAATCATCGAGCCTGAGGGAGAACCCACAAGCTAAGCACTCTCACAGATGAAGCTGGTTGCCTCCACAGATATCATTGGTGACTGTTCCTAAACCTCACCCTTTGGATAGATAGAAATGGAGTTTCCAGCCTGAAGTCGTTCCTGGGCAGTTTTTACCCTTTGTTCCTGTGGCAGAAGTGTACTCAGTTTAAACAGCCCTAAGCCCTCCCTGCTACTTGTCTGGATTGCATTGCTTGGGCTCACAAATGACGTGGGTGCAGGTGTTGTGCAGAGTTTGGTTTTTCTGTATCCCATATTTAAGGATCTTGTCCAAGCCTCAGAGATTGTAATCCCAAGGGTGTATGGGGTGAGGTGTGAGGGGAATGTCCAGGCCAAGGCTGTCAGGAGAAGTCAATTCAGAGTCTCTCCAATTTTCCTCACAGATCGCTTCTATCAGGCAGCGGGGCTTTTACTGCTCAGTCCCATATATTTTTGAAGGGTGACTAAATGTGAACTGGATCTTCCTGGGTGATGTCAACAGATTGTTTTGGGCCCAGTCTGAGCTTGAAGTATAAATTTCATCAGGCCCTTTGTACGCAGGTTGGGAAGTGGGCTCCTTTGGCAATTGTTAGGGATGGTTTTCCAGTAACTTCAAAAAACGCAGTTGCAGGCATCTCACTAGGGAGGTAAATTCCCAATAATCAGTTCACTGGCTAATGTTGGGTCACGCTGGGCCTGCTGCTGGCTCCCAGGTCCCTCTGGGGCAGCCCCTGGCCACTGCAGGCTGCACTGCCCATGAAGAGAGGCTGCTCCAGACACTGGTGCAGTCCCTGCCTGTGGGATCCCCAAATCCCTCACAGAAAGGGGCTGCTCTGTATGAGAGCAAACCCCGTCTGCAGCAGGGCTCTGCGGGGTGGGAGCAGTCCCCTGCCCGCAGCAGGTGGGGAGCTGCTCCAGTCCCCTTCGAACCCCAGTTAATTGGAACCGGCAAGCATCGTCTGTTAAGAGGGCTAAGAAAATCATGGGATAGTTCTGGGTGACTCCCAGGCCACGTGTCCAATGGGGCTGAATCTACACAGGAAAGGAATAGGATCCTGGATCTCATCTTGAATCGAGGTTGGATCTGTAGCACTGGAATGTCCTGGGCTCCAGGGTTTGGGGCCTGGATTAATGCAATTTGAGTATTAGTTTCATGAGGGGCTCCTACGAGGACAATCCCATCCCTGTTGGTAGAGGACTGTGGGAGGAGTTCTCAGAAGGGTCACACGACATCCTTTACTTCCGGTCACGTGTCTGTCTTGATCCTGGAAGTACTACTCCCGCGGATGGGATTTCCTGTGGCAGGTGGAAAGGCCGTTAGGAGTCCGGGGTATGGCTAATAGGATCGGGGGCAGGGCTGATGTGTCCCCATTTTTGGTTCAGAAAAGATGGTCACTGTATTTAGAGCCCTTTGTCGCCTTTAACAACTTAGGGCTCGGTCCTCAAATGCAGCTGTGCCACCGTACGGATATAGACGAAGATGCCCCTATAGGAAATGGAAAGCCTGTCCATCAGCCTAGCTGTCCATCTCTACGAGAGGTGCTGATGAGAGAAGTTCTCTTGTTGCCATAGCATGGTTTCCATGGGGGGTTAGGCCAGTATAACTGTCACCTAGGAGGATGGATTTTTCACACCCCTGAGCGACAAAGTTACACTGACCCATGTGTGTAGTGTAGACCCGGCCTTAGCGTTCCTGGGTCTGATAGTTTTAAGTGGATCCCTTTTCCAGTGGTTTGTCTCCACCTGCTGCTTGAAAGAAACCATGTTCCATCTTTCTGGGCTGATAACTAGTTCTTTGCTCACTTGAGTAACAAACTTGAGTCTTTTTTCTTTAGGTACAGAATGATTGGACCAGCTTCTGCTCAGTGTGTGCTTAGGGGAAATGGAGTTGATTGGGATAAGGAGGTTCCACGTTGTAAAGGTAAGCTGATTTAATGTTTTAAGAACAGTTCATGTCTGGGGAAGCGGGAGTGTAGCTGGTGCTATAGTGGAGTCAGTCTGTTCTGACTTTGACGTTTAATCTAAATGACAGTAAAATTGGTTCTGTTTGTTTGGAGAAAGAAGTGAAATGATACTGTGATTGAACGTGTTGTCTGGATGACTCCTGAAAAATCGACATTTTAAAAACCCCTTTATATTTTTCACGTGGAATCCAACATGCTTTATGGCACCTTGTTGTTGTTGTTGTTGTTGTTGTATCTGTGTAATCCTTGCTCCACACTAAGTGAGGGTACGTCTTACTCTACTAAGCTAATTCGAACTAACGGATCTAGACTAAAAAACTAGTTCGAATTAGCGTTTTGCTAATTCGAACTAGCATGTCCACACAGAGTGGACCCTGAACTGGGCTTAAGGATGGCCGGAAGCAGTGCCGGCAGGGCATCAGAGGAGGACTTAGAGCGTGGAGATGCTGCCTCAGGCTAGCCCAGGGCTGCGCTCAAAGGGACCTGACCCCCACCCCGGACAGACAGTTCTCAGGGGTGCCCCGCTTGAAAACCAGTCCTGGCTTGGAGTGCCCGGAGTGCACACACTGGGCACATCACACCACTCGGCCATCAGACCGGCTGCACTTGCCGCAGGCTGCCATCTGGGGAGAGGGGGCAATTGGGGGGCTGCAGGAGAGCTT